ACACACACACACATTATATATATAATACTTTCAATGTGCTGCTATATAATAATAATACTTAATAATTCTCAATAATACTTTAGTTAAGTATTATTAAATATGATATAAATAAAGTATTATTATAAATAAGTAAAAATATTATTAAGTAAAGTATTATTATAAATAAGTAAAAGAATCAATGGTCAATCTTTAAATACTGTTAAATATAATATCGTAAGTGAATAAAAAATAATCAAAAAATATTTTCGAGCATTTATTATCATTAAATGATATAAAATGAAGATAATATCATACACGAGCAAAGAAACATCAGTTGTACTATATTTTTATATGATCAAAATTATTAAAATTATTATTATATATAATATTAAAATTATTATATAATATTAAAATTATATAGTATTAAAATATAATTAAAATTATATTATTAAAATTATTATTTTTACATGATTAAAATGAATAAATGCTATAATTGCCTGTATAATGTATTACCTGACAATGTAAAAGACACTATACTGAGGTGTCGGTGGGTGTTTAAATGCAGAAGGTTTGCTAGGATCTTTGTATATACCTAAATTATATTTTTGACACGTGTTTCTTACAGTCGATAATCGCATTGAATTTTCCATTTCTGTTTTAATCTAAAATTCGAAATTCTGAAGCTAACACGTTTTATAAAAACAGAAGTATAGTATATCTTTTTATTTCTTTGTTAAATTCTTCAAACATTTTTTATTAAATTTTTTTTTAGATATGAAATTTAACAATTGTTATCAAATTTATTTACATACCATTAGCTTCTCCAGATCGTTGAACTTTGGTATTTTGTTATCCTTGTCTTTCATCAGTAACGATTTCACAATGTAAAAAATCAACCCACAAACAATGATATATTTCAAAATTTGAACAACGATTCTTTTATAGTTTCTAAGCATGATGAACCGCTGTTTAAAAAGATATATGTTTTTGAAAGATTAATTCATATGACAAAGAAATTGAATATTAAATTTTCGGTGAATTCGTTTTCTCGTTGTTCTGATACGTTCTTAGATTGAATAAATAATTATAACCATATACCTTTACGAAGATTATAAAAAATTATTTTTAAAAAATTACTTAAAAAATTTTTGTGAAAATTATATAAAAAGTGTATGCGAATGAATATTTTTAAGAGAAGAATGAAATAAATATACGTTCTTCTTTCTGGCAAGACACTGACTGACCGGTTTCGTGTTGAGTTCTGACAGTGATGGATCTAACACATTCTAAACCCGTGTCGAGAATTTTTATGCTAAAATTTTTAATTTCGATTTATATTGGCTAATTAAACGTGTCTTTTTACTTAACGTTTTATTTCAATATACGTATGTAATATTGTTTTAATAATAATATGATTTGAATGGAGTATTCAAGTTATAAACAAATTTATAAATAAATTGCAGATTAGATATACATCTGTAAATAAAGAAAAATTTATGATAGCCATTGATAAGCCATTTGTTTGTTTTGTAATTATCTGTTGTTATCGCCAGTAAGTAAATCCGTTCCTGATGTTAAGTTGAAAGCATTTCAGCACGAAAAGTCTGTTGCATACTAATTTGATTTAGGTATTCCGATGGTCGGTTTATAAATAGATAAAAATTTTATTTTTGCAATGGATATTGATAATGATAATAGCGTGTAAAATTGTGACATTTTAGTAGAATTATAAAAAGTGAATTAATAGAAAGTTAGAAATTTTTTAAAAATTAAATTGTTTCCATTTAAAAATTAGTAAAACACAAGATTTAGTATATTTCCTTAAATTTTTAAGACTCTATTAAAAATTTCCACTAGTACATAAGAAATTTGTATTAATCTCTTCAATTATGGATTAACGTTTCTTAAATTTTATTCAAAAATCTCTATTTAACAAATTTTGTAATGTAAACTAAAAAATTTTAATTTTTCACAAAATATATTTCACGTATATTAACAATTTTTATTGTTTCTTTAATTTCAGTCAAAGATTTAGGCTTGAACAAATTTTGTATAAATTGTGTAAGCTGAAAAAAAATCACATAAATTTTATAATTTTATGACGACACACTGTTACAAATTGCTTGTAAATTTTAATCAATATATATTTCAATAATTTATTATTCTTAGTGATATAATGCCAAGAATAAGAAAGTAGCGTTAGTCTACGTCATTATCGATATCGTGAAAAAATGCTTACGCTCCTCACGACCATGAAAGTATCTTTCCTTCATTCAGTTAATTGTAAGTTCAAGGTCTCTCTATGCCTTTCCATGAATGTCGCCGTATCTACATACCGTGTAATAAGAAATATAAAAGCAAAAAACGGAATCATATAATATCGATTTCATACGTCACGTAATTCTCAGTGTGAAAGAGGCCATGTTTCTTTTCGCACACGAATTAATTATTTATCTAACTTTTAACATTTTTCGTTCGGCTTGGGACCAAGCGAGTTATTATTAGAACAATTTAAAATGTCGATAATTTTTCATTTCACGTTTATTAGGTCAATTATGTTTCTTCACTGTAAGTCGGTATTTTTCACTTCGCTTCAAAGCAGGTTTCACAGATACAATATAGTCACGCATTGTTTTAATGGTACTTTATTGCCTTCCTTTCGCAGAATTTCTTGACCACCCCTTACATCCATAAATAATAGCATATTACATGATTAGCTGGATTAATCGCACTTCCATCAGGTACATATTTCCTTCTGGACAATGTTCCCTCCTTCGTGGCAGTGAAACAGCATGGATGAATTATGCATGCTATTTCGTTTCCCACCAGTTGGACGCCATTGGAAATAGTCCTCAGGCGTTTGGAGGACGCTAATATGAATATTCTACTTAGATGAAAAACGACAGAGATTTCCTTGTGCGCAATATTATACGCCGCCAAGGGAAACAAAACTCCCGAGTAACAAGAAAATAATTGCGAACGTCGTCGCGTGCTGTATGTCGATCCAAAGCTTCGTATATGTGTGTGTATGCAAATTTATTGGTAATTTTAAAAGTTCTTCAACAGTTTGGATTTTGTGAGAAATCCTTAAATTTACTGCATTTTAAATATGATATTGTGCTTTTGTAAATGCGAGAACGAGGATTCTCCAAAGAACTTTTGTGATTGCAATGCCAATAAATTTCAAGGATTAAATTCAAGATCATTTATTAATTATAAAATTCATTAACTTTTACGTTTGATCATTAATAAGTATTTGAATCATTTGGGAACATGAAAATATGGAATTTTTACAACAATTCCATTTTTTGGAATTTTAATGGAATTTTCACATCAATTTCATTTTTCTTTAACCTTAAGAAATAAGTTTACACATCTATCATAAATTTATAAATGGTCTTTTCAAAAAGCTCTTCAAATTATATCAATTTAACTTTATTACAAGGTCCAATCAAAAGATAATCATTCTTTCAAAGTAACTTTGAACCACCACGTGACATGTAGTTCTGTATCATTCATGAGTTCAATGAAATTATGAAGAATTGATAATATTGATTGTTTTCGTGTAAATAGAGCTGAATCGTAGATTAAATGCAGATGTTACCAATGCATTGCGTTCAGGCTTGCTGCAACGATCGATAATGTTCACTCGACGACTGCTGATTCTTGACCAGGAACATTACGTATAAATGATATTTTCTGTATGAACGTTCTGTCAACACAAAAATTGGTTTGTCATCGATGATATGGAGAAAAAAAATGATTCTTGAACGAAAGATAAGTCAATTATGTCATAAATAACAGGCTACTTTGCATATACATCACATCTTTCATATTATGCTCAAATTAAATCTTTTATCTCGTTACAACATCAAGTATAATATATAATACAAGGTTCCTTTCAGTATTACAAATTAAGAAAGATAAAAAATTAATTTCCAATTAGCAGGTGACAAATGAACAATATTTGAAACATAGAAATAATCTATTTATATTGTTTCATTAAAATCTTTTAATTTTTATTAAAACGTAGTGTCATATTTAAAACATTTATCTAATTTTTAAAATTAGATAAAATTAATAAA